ACAAGTAACAACCAAGAAGTAGACTAAGGAAGACCAAAGTTGGTCAGTCGGCCAATGTCGAAATCCTCCCCGCTGAGAAGTACGGGACATGGTCACAGTTTTTTGGAATGCGCACGGTGTCATTCACATCGATTACCTTGGAAAGGGCAAAGCGATCACTGGCGAGTTTTATTCAAAGTTTTTTGGACATATTCGATATTAACTTGAAGCAAAAACTACCAAATTTGGTCAAGAAAAAACGCTGTTCTATCAAGACAGGCGTGTGTAGTTACCAATAAAAATAAAAAAAAAACGATCTACCATCCACCGTATTCACCAGATTTAGCCCCCAGCGACTACTATTTCACGCTTTCAGACTCAATGAAATGGCTGGGCGTTAAGAGACTTAGCTCGAATGAAGAAGTCTTTACTGAAACTAACGTTTATTTTTAGGCCCTTGAGAGGCCCTATTATTTCCAAGGATTTAAAAATTGGAAAAAGGGTGGACTCCCTCCCCTCGCCACCCTCGCCCTCGTTTGTAGACAGGTTAACCGGTACGATCCCTAAAAAAAAAAAATTGATGGCCTACTTTGCCTTTTGAAACCGCTTGGTTGAAAAATAGCGTCTTTCTAAGATTCTGAGAAGAAAAGTTTTAAAAATTGTCCCCCTTCATTATGTTTCTTTACAAACTTGGAGTACAGTACGTCGTATGTAGGTGTTAATTTTTAACCGACTTCCAAAAAAGGAGGAGGTTATCAGTTCGTCGGAATATATTTTTTTTTTTTTTATGTATGTCACCGCATAACTTTGGACCACGTCAACCGATTTCGATAATTCTTTTTGCATCGGAAAGGTAGTGTCTCAGAGGTGGTCCCATACTAATCTGGTTGAGATCCGATCAGTGGATCATGAGATATATATATATATTTTTTTTTTTTATATGGGAGTTGAAGTCGGTTTTTTTTGCTAAAAATTACTTGTGTTTTTCTACGAAGCCAATGCTCTTTTACACCTACTTCCCCAGGCTAACGATATTGAGGAGACGCAAATGAAATTAATACTCAACACTTCCGTTTCCTCTTTGTTAGATTCATCGGTGGTTTCTATTCTGATTACTAATTTCAATTACCAGTCAAGGAAAACGTGCCATTACAAATATTAAGTGGAAAATTAATTGTTGATTGCGTTGCCAATAGAAATGCTCCAATATCTCTTTTTACATAGTAAATGCAATTCGGAGTCGGAGCTACATATGTATATGTATGTATATGTACATATGCAGATGCATAGCTGCACAAATAGTAAGTATGTACGATTATATTTACTGATATATTTACAATATGCCACTGTTTTCTATCGTAGCTGCATTAAGTAGTTATTTTAAATAAATATGTACATTAGGGTGGTCCTTAAAAAATCAAAAGAGCGATTTTTTCATTCTTTTTTGTCAACTCATACCCACAATCGATACTAGCATAGTCGAAGATATCAGATACAAATTTTGGTCCCGATTGGAGTCGGTTAAAACGTATTCATAGGGTAATCTGAATTTTGAACCACTATGCGCCACGCCTTAACCGAATGCAATCTGGGCCAAAATTTATATGTGATATCTTCGACTATAGTAGCATCGACGTAGGGGTTGAGGCTTAGGGGAAATCTGATGTAAAAATGTTCTTCCTACATTTAAGGACCACGCTGATGTACATAGATATGCATGTATGTTTGTCTGTACCGAATGTATGGAATTGTTTCAGTATTATTTTGATAAGATTCCCGCTGCATCTATCTCTCAGTCATTCACCCGTACCGCACTCACCCAATAGCGCTTGGTTGTGCCACCAAGCCTTCGCTCAGGGTCCGGACTTTGATCCGATCGGAGTAGATTTACTCCGATTTATATTTTAAATTTAAATTGTAGTTGGCTTAACGAAATGAAATAGTGGAAACAAGCAACAAGAATTCACAAGGTGAACTTAGCGCAGAGCGTAGGCAACTGACTGAGTCAGTGGGATCGTCGGTTCGAATCCTACTGAAAGAAGTCTGATGAGGAAATGTGGTGATTTCCGAAATAGCTATCACTTCTACCATTTTTTTTTTCAAATTATTGTTGATTTTCCACAATAAGCTTTTCATTAAAAGCGGCCTTAAGCTCAATTAAAATTGTCGAATTAAATTTTAAATTTTTATTTTTTTCCATTCACATTAGGAATATATTAGAAAATAATATGGTAACTTCTTAAATTTTTCCTCAATAATTTCTGTGGCATCCACCAGGTGTTGCACAGCAAGGTGTAAAGTGTGAAATTGTCTGTTTTACTCTTTATCATTCCCTGCGAAATCACTTTTAATATCCCAAAGCAGAGGATTGATTAAGGATCTTGAAAAACGTTTGGGGAATTTGGCAGAGTATACGCTGACGTTAGCTATTTTACCACACAGGGGTGCTGCTGCCGAAAGAAAAATTTCAGAGATGAATCTCATTAAAAATAAATACCGGAACAGGCTTAATGTCGAAACAGACTGATAATTTACCTTTTTTTTAAACATAGTAAATTTTTTTGAGGGAAAGTTCGATTGGAATACTATGTTAACACCGTATGATAAACCTTAAGCAAATGTTTTTCCTTAAAATTTCAGGCTTTTTACTCGATTTGTTCAAATAAATTTAAGTCATTTTAAGAAAAAGCCATTGCTTTGTTTTTATGCATGCGGCTCAATGTGTGATGAATTGAAAAACTACCTGTAATATACATATGCAATGTGTAAGTATAGAAAAAATGTGCCGAACTGAAAAAATACCTAAAGATGTTACAATTTTTCCTTACGCTATATATAAAAAAAAATATTAATCTACTCCGAAAATCTCAATTTTACTCCGATTCCTCGAGTCACTTACTCCCGAACCGAGTTTCAGTAGTCCGAACGCTGCCTTCGCTGCATCAAAAACATACATATTTATATAGGTATGTTAAAATGTATAGCAATATAATGCGATTATTACATCAGAGAATGGTATTTTTCCATTTGGAAAGTTAACATACAGAAATGTGTATGTATGTATGTAAATAAACACAGTTACGGATGAAATGCAAAAAAAAAATATAATAATAATAATAACATATGTTTTGAAGCTCTCAATTGGCGGGGCGTCTCTGCAAACTTATGGTGTGCGACTTGATATTGGTACGGAAATGAAGGCACTAAGGTATGGATTTGCGCCTTCTCCGAACGGGGAACTGTTTGGTATGGGAAGCTTTTTTGGAAGTGTATTTGAATTTTTGCCATTACCTGTCGAGAGGCGTCAGATATTAAAAAAAGTTTTGTCTTTGATTCGAAACAGGCATCGAATTATGACCGGCTGAGTTAATAGATGAATTTTACGAACTAAACTCAAAATTCTTCAGTTTACATGTTCTTGTTAGTGTAAACACGACCTAAACGGTCAACATTTTAAAATTGTTCTTAAACTTAATTTTGAAAAAAACGCTTAATTGTGTCATTTTTAAAATTTTTGTACATTTTTTTAGACAACTAATAACTTAAAAATGGTGGTTCGAAATAAGAAAATAAAACACAGTAACTGCAAAAAACCATTTCCAATATTTCACTCACAGATAAAGACTTTGACCATTTCCTATGCAACTGTCGTGTTTTTTTTGCAAAAACACAAGATACCGTTATTTGATTTGATATTCTCTTTATTAAATGACAGTGCTTGTCAAAAATTTATTTTTGTATGTAAGTACGAATAATAACTTTTTGCCACAAAAACAGATCAAACTGCCCATAGTGCCTTGGTAGAATTATACCATTATTTCGTCAAGAATTAGACCATAAAAAGAATGGCCAGATAATGAAAGAGGAGAAAGGAAATACGCATTTTCAAGAAAAAAGGAGGGGCCGAAAAACGTGAGTACGAGGTGCTTGTGATGCTGACTGGGAGGAATGCTGCCGAAAAACTCTATCAGAAAATAAGACAACAATCAAGTCATTTCAAGAGCTGTTTCAAAAAGTCTGATGCCTGCAAGAACGACGATGGAATACACGTTCGGATTACATTACATTTGATATATGAGCGAAAAACTTCGCAACGTTTTTGAAAAACGACGAGAAGAACCGAACATAATGTATAGAGACAATGCTCAAGTTCTTACACTCGACCAAGCGAAGTAATGACGGAGGTAATGTGGCTTATAAGCAACAAAGCTATCTCTATAGTCGATGGCTGAACAGTTGAAAGCCGGCGGCAAAGGGAGCACGTACCCGCGCGAAAATTGGAATCTCAGTGTACTTAGCCCAATACACTAGGGAGGAGATCCTGCTGTTTGTGAAGCCCTTTAACTTGGAGCTTACTGTTGTGGCTTAGACCTGACCAGTCCGCCATTGAGCCTCTTTTCACAGTGCATCAAATCCTGGAAAAGACATTCAGCCTCATTGCGTAAGTGGTAAATTAGGCTAAATTGTACAACTCGACAACATTGGCATTGTCTACTGTCGTCCTGAAATAAGTAAAGGACGAAAATCGTCGAAAGCTATAGTTATACGCATATACATATGCAGTGCTGCAAAATTTTTCCGTTTTAATTCACTAGTCGAGTCTAAATTTTAGGCAATTTGCATGGAATAATATGTGTTATACCTCCAGCAAAAAAAAAATAAATATCAAAAATTAACGCGATTTTTAGCAAATTCAAACTGTCACTTTATTATACTAGATTTTAATAAGCTATAAAACTGCATCCCAAAAATTAATTTAGAAATTCTATTTATTCTAGAAATTCAAAATAAAATGCTTGGAATTGGGATGTAGAGTTTGTGGAATTTTTATAATTTTTTTACGAAGTCTGAAATTTGGATTTATATGGTACTTGTTAGATAAAGAGCTATACTTTTATTTGAAAATAGTGAACATTAAACAAACAAAAGATAAATAGTCAAAACTATTCAAAATATTGAGGTGCTATCGTTTTGTTGCGGGCCGTAGATCTATGTAAGTATAAATTCAAAAGGTAACTCACCTCGTTCGTTGATGTCACCGCTGCACCTTCCAAGACCGAAGCCCGTCATAACCATTCCAGCGGCTGCGCGACTGATGGCGGTGAAACCGATTTGTGTTTGGCCAGGTAAGTACATATACAAGCCTGGTTTTTTGCTCATTCCGCTCGAGGCTGAAAGTAGTGGTGTATTCGGCACTGAACTATGACAGAAACAATATTTTTTTAGTTTGGTGCTTGAAAGGATATAGGCCCTCGGTTAACCTCTAGTAGCCCTACTTACCAGTGTGTGCTCTGCCGATATCTGCTGCTGCTTTTGATGAGAGTTGGAGTAGTCATGGATGTTGATTTGCAGGACGCGCTCTATGTAAGTGAAATCGACCCCCAGCGAGGATATTGATGTGCCGCATCCACCAGCCAGGTCATTCATCGGATTGGCCTGGTTGGATTTCTCGTTCATCACCTCCTCGTTGTTGGCTTCTTCCGGCTCAACTTCTGTCGCCATGCTACTTGGTCGCTACACCCTAATTTTGACGGTGTCGAAACCGTACTGAATGATACCGCCTGTCTCCGCCAGAAGTGGCAGAGACTCCTTGTTGAGCATCAGGACCAACCGACGCGTCACTTTGGTGCTGGGCTCAAGCCGCAGCACCCTCCAGTTGTGAACAGGTAATTCGGGATTACATATCCTTATAAGCTCGAGCACTCTCTCAGGCTCAGACGGTTTTGCCGGTATCCACGCAGTTGCCCTGGGCATGGACGGAATGTCCTTGTAGTCAATAGCCCGTAGCACTGCTTTGGGGTAGACCTCACCCACTCTGGAAATTGCTATCTTGTACAGATCCGCAGATCTCTCATCGTCACACGCGACGATTTTGATGTTACCTCGGAGCCAACCAACTTCCCCGCATGCTGGAGCCGGTCCGGGATAATCTCGAAACACGCTAAGGGCAACACCCGACATTTCCGCCTTTACGCATTTCCAATGCTCCCTGAGTTGCGCGCCCTGGTTCTCGTCCAAGACACCCAGGAGGAATTTGGTTTTTGCTAATTCAGTAAATGAGGGACCTTGCATTTTTTTCACTGTCTTTGGTATGTTCTGTGCAACCTCGATTGATTTTTTGCGCTTTCCGGCGGTCTGTGGCTTTCTGTGCACAGGCAGATGATAGTCGGGCACTATTGTCATTGCCCACTGGATTTCGGCGCGGATCTCTTCTACGTGACAGGGCAGCGCCCTGCTACACAAATCCGGCGTCAATGCGGACCTCCTTAGAATTTTCATGGCAGCTCTTTTATGCCTAGCGAAGACTGCGTTCGGAGATGGCCTATCTTCAGGCTTCGTTAAAGCCGTGGGTGTAGGAAGAGAAGCGGTCTGCATATCAGCTTCGGCGCCTCCCAAAGTTGCAAGCTGCAAGCCAGGTTTGTCTCCGCTTGTGTCAGACAAATCCCGCATCGGTTCCCCAGCCTTATTCCCCTGCGATTTCATTGATACCCCGGGCTTCGGCATCGCCAGACTCTTACGTTCGCTACTGGTGTTAGCCACACCATGGCTGGTAGAGGGTACCTGCATTGCGTGGACCTCATCGTATGTAGGCGGCTGCTCTTCCGACGTTTTAAGAGTGTCGGTCTCATTATTTGTAGTTTTTGTTTGTAGTGTTTTATTGTTTGTTGTTTTGGAATCGTTCATAAGTCCCACGAGTAGCGGAGAAAGGGGTTCGTCCACCCCGGGCAGAGATCCGCAGTACCCAGGGTAAGGCCAACGCTTACAACCGGGTGCGGCCTGGTTCCCAGAGGGCTCCGTTAGCGACTGGGCTATTTAGGGGCTCCCAGCCAGGCTGATCCTCAGTACGGAAACGCGTAACGCCTTGATCCAGCCCCTACCTCTAGACCACGATCAAAAACCATTTCCGTATGACATAGCGATCAAAATACGCATAAGCACACAGCACTGATCCCTGATCTTAGCTGGACACCTTCCCGACATCGTACGGGAATGCTCTGTAGTGCCCATTACCAGCCGGCACCCTCGCGGAGGGTTCGGTCTGAGGATTTTCGCCGACCATAAAGACCACAAATTGTCCCATTCACTACATGTTTTTTGGAAAAGAGAATGAAACCTGAGCCGCCCAGAGTTATAAATTCATTGTCAACATATCAACGCGATTTCAGTGGATCTATCGGCAACGCAGTTGGACCCCGCCATTACCAATTACTTTTAGCCAAGTTGAAGAATAACCAACATGTACATATTTTTCGTTATTTTTTCCTTATTTACTTTTATTCATATATTTGGACTTATTTACTTAACTTGGGAATACATGTAATGATTAAGAATTTTTTAATATTTTAGTACTCTTACATACATACATATTTCTACATTTATAATTTTGTGTACGCGTATGTTTTTTTGCTTAATATACCGATTTATGGATTTATAATAAAGTTCATGCGTAGTCTTTCTTAAAATGAAGAAAAAATAAATAACTCAATGGTTGGATGTTTCCTTACCAAAAAAAAGGCTTGGTCAACTTAAAGTTACTTTCCAAAGCCGACTCTCGCATTGACTAATTATGTTTACCGTAATTGTTTTTTATAAAATTCTAATAGCATAGGCAGACGGCAACGTTAATCCGGATTTGCGGGATAAGCAAGCCGCGATGTCACGGGTTTGCATCCCACGATCAGCAATTATTATTTTTTTTTTTTTTAGTTTCATCAATCAGATATTTGCCGCATTTATGTTTCATATTTAATTACAGTTGCTTTGGACTTTTTTGATAAAATTATATAATAAAATAAAAAATTTATCGAAATTAAATATTAATGCCAAATAAAAGAAAATAAAACAAAATATAATAAAAATAAATAAAAAAATAAAAATAAATAAATAAATAATAAAAAATCGATCGAACTTGGCTCCACTGACGCTACGTGCACTTTATTTGTTTACTTAACAGTGGGTCATACGTGTGACAATGCTATATATTACGAAAAGGCTGTTGAGAAATTTCAGAAAGCAGTTGCTTGAAAATTAACAGCTTGCAATATTTTATTCCGTGCTTTTATATTTTCCAAAATTTAATTGCACAAAAATTTTCTGAAATCTTTCTCGATGATAATAATGCTGGTAAACTAGTCGCATTTCAAGTCACTAAATTTGAGATTATATGCAAATTAGTGACTCTTTTTGAGGCTTCAAAAAAGTTGGGTATTCAGTAAGAGAAAGTCTCATAAAATTCACCAAAAACGTGTGACAGGACAGTCAGCTGATAGCATAAATTTACAGTGGTCAAAGAAATTATAGCCGCACCACATATTGACAACCTGTTCTTAGCAAGCTGGCAAATTAGTGGCCTTTTTTTGAGACTAGAGACGTGAGACAGCTTACTCGTACCAAATAGTCTCAAAGTCTCTTTAGTGACTAGATATTGATTACTAAATACCGGCATATTTCTCTTGGTTATAATAAACTTTTTTTTCAGTATCAATGATTAATTTATTTTTAATAGCAAAACAATTAAATTCCGAAAAATAATAAGTTACAAGCATTCTTGATATTTTGTTCAAAATTACCCTCTATTATTTCTCACAAATCCGCGATCAGTGTTGCCACTTTAATGGTTTGACAAAATTTGCAGCAAAATTAAATAAAGCTACTTGAAATATATTTTCGAAATCGATTTGCGCTCTTTCAGTTGCAGTCACACCTTGCAAATTTTATTTCTGAAATTGATTTCCGAAGAGTGAGAAAAGGGTTTTCTGGCTGTACACACATGGAAATGATTTTTTTCTTTCTCAATTCAACAGTGAATAGAGTGGAAAAGTTGGAAATATGGCCACGTCTAACATGCTCTTTACTTGTTTGCTTCGTTTATATTTCATTTACAACAAAAAACAGCTGGCCATTTTGATCAGTGTTGTCAACGGACATGCCCCTGATCCACATTAATTTTGATAATTAGCTCTAGGACTTTATCCGCGTGAACTGCATTTAATTCCCGAGATAATTCCGAATTAACGAGTTGATTCGGATCAACGCTGTCGTCTGTCTATGCTTAAACACACACACACATATTAAATTTCAATTTACGAGTATATAAACAATTATATATCTGTGGCATTTAGATAACACCACTTAAATGGCTTTACAAAGTTGGACTTTGCATTAAAAAAAATTATAAGTCCGTGAGTAGCAGGTACTCATGAAATTTACACCCATATTGCGAGTGTCGACTAGTAGTAGATAAACGACTGTTAGTCGATTATCGATTATCCGTCGTATTTTCATAGTCGTTTTCTCGTTCAATAATTGCATGTAAATAGTTAATAGTCGCTCAACCTTCTACAAACAAACAGTTGTAGAAAAATGAGCGATAAAAAACTATTCACAGTCGCTTATTGAACGAGAAATCGACATGCAAAATACCATGGAAAAGCGATAATCGAATAAGAGTCGTTTATCTACTACTAGTCGACATTGGCAATACGGGTGCTAAAGTGTAAACATCTGTGTGCCGAAAAAATATCGAAAAAAATCATGAACTAAGTAGAACCGAACTAGTTTTGAATTGATCCTGAGAAAGTATCGAAATGGTGCCGAGTCCAGAACTCGTCCCAAAATAATCCCAAATTTTCCCCGAAATGGGCCCTAAAAGGTCCCAAATTATATCAATAAGCAGTGTTGTTAGAACAGCTGATTAGATGTGTGTCTTCATTTGTACTACTTCTGGATCCGCTTTGGTTTACACATAATAGTTTATTGCCTTTACCAGGAGTAAAGACGTTCACACATCAAAAACCCAGTTGAAAATAATTTCAGTCGATTTTTTCTAAATTTCAGCCTTGCTTTTTATCAATACACTACAGTAGTGCGCATTCCAAAAACGAATGCTACGAAAAGTTGCAGACGGTTACTAGAACCACTTGCAACAGCAGTAAACACAGTCTGTTTCTACAGAAAAAATTACAGATTTTCTGCTGGGGTAACAAAAATCTTACCCATACCGAGAGTAAAGATGTTTACACATCAATAATTCTATAATTTTATAATTGTTCAACCCTAAATAAGTTGTTTTATCAAAATGCCGCAGATATGCATATGTATGTATGTGTGTATAATATACATTGTATATAAACAAGGGATGTTAAGTTTTTCGCCTTTTACGATCCCGGAATTTTCGGGATGTCGTTACCACAATAACGGGATCCGGGGACTAACATTCCTAGTGTATACATACAGTGACTCAAACAAATGACCACGTGTTGATTTTCTATTAATATTCGTAGTGTTTTTCAAAAAAAATTTCGTCTAACCAAAACCGGGTAAATTACAGTTTCAGTTTTTATATAAAAATAACAATAAAATAATTTAGCTCGACATTTTGTATAAAGTTTGTAACTGCGTTGGTTAAAGCATAGACGATATTTTTATATTAAAATTACAAAAAAAAGCTAGAAAAATATTACGAATATTAAAAAAAAAAAAACACGTGGTCATTTGTGTGAGTCACAAACATACATAGGTATTTGTTGTTGTTGTTGTTGTTGTTGTTGTTGTTGTTGTTGTTGTTTGGAAGGGTTTAAAAACGCATGATGTATCTTTTAAGGCGTACGTACGCCTTTCGAGTGGCTTAAAATAAGCGAATTTTTCACACATTTCAAACGTTTGCAAATTTTAAAATTTTAATTTTAGTGCTTTACCTTTCATTATTTATAGCTGTATGAAATGTGTATTGACTAGATTTTCAATTATTTATTATATTTTTACTGCTAGTAACTTTACTAAGTATGTATGTATGTATGTATGTTTATTTCTGATATCATAATTATAATATGTATGATTGCAACAAAAATTCTGTTTAACTTCAAATTTAAGGCTAATTAAACTTAGTGAAATATGTATATTTATTTTCATATGGCAGGCTAAAAGTTGAAACTGACACAAAAAGTTAACATACAAATATTTATATGTAAGTAGATAGATAAACACATATGTATGTACATATGTAAATGATAACAGGCAAAAGTGCTTGTCTATTAAAAAAATAGTTAAAGCTGAAGAGTTAAATGAAATTTTTTTAATACAGCAGTACTTAGATATTCCTTTGTTATAGAAAATATGGGCTTAGACCATTCAATCTCATTCATACATCAAAAAAAAAACAAAAAAAAAACAACTAAAAATTCGAACTTTATTGTACGAAAATTTAATGGGCTACAAAACTACATACTCAAAGAAATTGTGAAAAATGTGTTTAAAAAGTTCAAAATTTAAATACAACTTTGCAATTTAAAAACTAAGCCGCTAAACGAATTTTTAGTAGTTTTTTTGCAACAAATTTGAATTCCTCGATTGAAAATCTACAAGAAAAGTAGATAAAACCAAAAACCAAATCTTTTTTGTTGGAGCCAGCAAGCAAAGTATTATTTTTTTGTTTTGAAGGTTAATTTGTCAATCAAATTTTTTGGGGGGTTTGTATAATGATTATAGAGATAGCGATGGACGTAAGAAACGTATATTTTTTTAAGTTCATTACAAGCTCTTTTTGGGTAAAAATAAAACAAAAAATTAAAATGTTTTACTTTTTTTTTTTTTTTGTCAATGTTATTGTGGCTTGTTAACATTTTATTTTTAATATTTTTATTGAGCTTTGTACCACGATTGTTTATTAGGAAAAATTGAAAAAGCAACAAAGTCTAAGCGGTAGAAGTTATAGCACTATTTCGGAGATCACCACATCTCCTCATCAGACTTCTTTTTNCAACTACTATCAAGTGCAGCTGATTTGCCGCTATTTAAACTCGACAGCGTGGTTGTTGTTGTCAATTCTATACATCCATTTGCAAACATGTCTCGAAAAATATTTGTTAGAGAGCACAAAAATTCCATCTTCAAAAGTGACACAACTCAAAATTTTGCATTTTTGAAATTATGCACCAAAACTGTACAGAGAGCTTGTATTTACCTTTCAGCAAAAGCTGGAGCAAATTTTTGTTATAATTTGTTAAAAAAAAACCATACGAATAGCATTTTTCGCATTTTTCGATA